ATTTTTAGAGAATTAAGAATATATAAAATCGCTGTTTCTTGAAGTTCAAATTTTTTATTTTGAAAGAATCATTCATTGAGTATCATGATTTGAGAATAGCTTACGTGAAATTAAATGATGGAGTTCCGAACATTGGCACTTCAGCGGGCATGACATCAAGTAGTTCTTCATAGCTATTCAAATACATATCTGTTGGATATCGAAAACCTTTTGATGCTATTGAATACCATCGACCTACCATAAATTTCAGTGGTTCCAATGTTGGTGGCACCGGAATATTACTTAAAACTATAAAAAATTTTCAATATATCCTATCGTAGAAATCGTGTCATCGTTATGTTATATAATTCCTTAATCCGTTTTTAAGATTGCAGATTTCGAAATAAAACTCATTCAACTGTTCTTTTTGAAGAATGTACGATTTTCATCACAACAAGAAACATCCAGTATGTAAAATTTATAAAATCGATACTATGTTTAGGATCCGGTACGCACTGATGACAGCTCACCGCACAATTGATATCGAAAAAGTTTGTTTGAGTGCGTACTTGTTCACATTTATCCTCTAATGCCCATCGTTCACAACTTCTATAAACGTTCCGGCAATGTCCTTTAAACAGCCACATTTGATTTAAGTAGCTGTTGTTAATTGTTTGAATGAAGGAAAAAAAAGAACTACTAAAACTAACAAACAGATGTAGATTTTAATATTTTGAAAATTTTAGTCAACTGCAGTGAAAATCACGCCATGAATACGCTTACTATGACAGTATCGGCCCATCCAACCAGGTGTACATATACATGATACTTTGCCAGGTAAACAAGTGCCACCATTCAAGCATGGGTTGAATCTACAGTTTTCTTTCGTAAGCTTCCGTAGCGCCAGCTGTTGTTGGCAACTACCTTTAAATAAAGAACAACAATTACAAAACAATTAGATTAGGTTACAAAGAAAACTGAGAACCACGAAAAATCGAAACAAATGTGTAGCAAACTATTATAACCACTCCCATGAAATCCATCCTCTGACAAGATTACAGATTATTGAGGTATACAATGACGGTCATGACTGATTTCAAACTCCCTATGCATTCAACTCATTGTGCTTCTACTGCTCAATTATTAACATTTTCAGGAGCATTTATTGCCGATAGAAAATATTTAATCATTATTCCCAAGCATTTCTTAATTTTAAATTCAAATATTTGTATGCTGATTTTGTGGAACACATCTGATCTTATTAACAATTAACCAGACATGAAAACAGCTACGATTAACATAATTTGATCAAATAAAATAAAAGCTGAAAGAAAGTTCTTCGTTTATTTTATAGAAAAAAACGAATTTTTCAAATACTAAATTTAAAAAACATGTTACTAATGGAAGAAGTTCATAGAAAAAAAGGAGAAACTGTATTGGATGAAATAATCAGCAACGGTGGGTGATAACGAAAACAAAAGGTGACAAAGAGATGGATAAAAAGTGAGGTTTTTAACACTGCTGGCATCAATATAAATCGAATATATCTGATGACTTCCTATCAGTAAAGCGATAACCTCCCATACCATATATTCAACAATCAATCTTATCCGCTAACGGAAGAGTTTGCGACGATCAAATTTCGCCCATCTAATGACGCTAAACGAAAAAGGTGAAGAAAGGGATAAGAAGAAAAGTGACGAATGATGAAATATGAAACTTACAGAAAATAGTTGTCGTAACGCATACGAAGAAATATCTCAATAACATCGAGGCCCAGAAATTCCTTGTTAGGGCAGAAAAGTCTTGAAGATGAATGAAGGATGAATAACAATCACAAAGAATACGTCTTTGGCGAAATCTAGTTGTCCAGTGAAGTCACAAGTCGAAGAACTCGATTTTTCCCAAATGTTCACAATGTCGATTTTGCCAATCGAATCAAATCGTCAAGGCATGATAAAATCCTTTTTTTGGCACACAAATGCATACATAAATCAAGAAAAACAAAAATGAAGAATGAATAATGGTACTTAAGAGAGAACTTGGAAAACGCATTATCCAAAATGTATGCAATTTCGATGTCACCTACATCTACTACCATAGAAGATATTGATGGTTGGAGTGATGAAAATTTGAATAACAATAGTACGATTATCATATGGTATTTTTGTAATTTTAATAATGTCTGGAAAATTCAGCAATTCAAATAATTGCATCAATGCACTGACAACAATGGTAATTTCCATTACTTAAAAAACTATTAAAATATTGTAATGAAAGACCAAAAAGAAAAAAGATAGATACGAAAGTCGATACGAAGAAAACGTAATAGAATGAAGGATCCAATCAAGCAGCTGCGAATGATTGCATTCATTTTAAATTATTCTACTTCTCATCTTTCATTCTTCTTCGGCTCTTCATCGGCACTGCAACATCATCTTTAACAGGTTTACAAGGACGGAAAAGCTTCCAAATGTCTTCCTAACGTCTCATCCATTTATAAATGAATACTTGTTGCACCTTTCAAAATCGCAATTTTATTTTAATCTGCAAATACCTGTCACCTTAATCACACATAAATCGGTAACAAATGCACTGCTCCTTTTTGAATGGATCGCACTACCGAACACTTCCCTCGTTCAATAATTATTTCTTAAATCTGATATATCCATTACTAATCTATCCGTTCTTTTATAATTAGATTAGTCCTTTCTTTTCTTTTTTATTGCTTTTTCTCTATCTTTCACTCTCTTTTGCTGTCCACCTTTCCCTTCTATTGTTATAACAATCCTAGCTGTCGCATAACCCGATTAGAAATGGTCGCTTTATCACCAGATTTAGTTCAAACCGCTTGGAACTTCCATTTAGAGCAAATAAAAGCTTATTAAAATACTGCCAATCCATTCCTGAAACTTATTATTTTAAACAGCTTTTTGTGTTTGCTTTCAATTTTCTTTAATATGTGTAGTTTTCGGAACGTCGTTTGTCTAGAATTTTTTGCAGTAAGTATGAAGATGTTACGATGAGATAGATCTTTTAGCATAAATCTGTTTAGAATCGGAAATTCATCAATATTACGAATATATATCAAGATGTATAATATGCCTAAAGCCAAACTATTTATAAACAACATCACAATCATTTATATAAGTAGCCCAAAAACAAATTAGCACAGACATGCTCCATCAGTCATGTTAGTGTAACGTATTACTTGCACAAAAAAGTACCGCAAGTTTGATCAACTAATTGCAGAATAACATGTCATTTCTCATTTATAGAAAAATAAGCAAAATCAAAAGAATAAAAACAGTTGTATCATCAAAAAAAGGAAACGAAAAAAGACGATTCCAAATGAAATACGTTTTGTCTTTTCAGAGCCAATTTCCAGTTTCATAAAACATTTCAAAAACCAAAATATACTATGAACACTCTTGCAAGATAAACTGTATCAAAGCGTTGAATCAGGAGATCGGATTCAAAATTACAAGCCTGATTCATCAAGACGATGATATTTTCTTTCCCGATGTTTTTTTTTTTACCTTCAATTCCTGATAGCTTCCAAACATCAAATTAGCTGATGATGAAAAGATTGCCTGATTCACTTCTAGGCATTTGAAAAAAAAGTAGTCCGCTAACACTATCACTGATGAACCTCGCCATTTTTCAACGAATATGTCCAATATTTCAAGACAATTCAACGCTCTTCGCGGCATTTCCGTCTAATGTTTATTCTAAGCCGAAGAAAAGGCTAAGAGAACGAAGATAACCGTAGAATTTGCGTCAATATCAGGTGAATTAAAACCAGAAGAGAGTTTAACAGAAAAAGAAGACAATAGATAAACTGCAAATTTCTTACATCGAAAGAGTGTAGAACGTTCCATTTGCTCCAACTTTTCAAGTTGTCATGATAGACACAACTTAAGAGAATGCAACAATGAGGACAACTTTTGAAACTTAATCTTAGAAGTAACTTCCTGTCCTCAACGAAACTTCGGGAATAGTCTCGTACCTTTTGCATCTACATGCTAATACATCCACAGATTACTTAAAAAGCAATCATAGACAAAGAACGCCTATCATTAAATCAAGAACTAGTCAAACTTCTCGTACTAGTAGAGACTTAGCAAACGTACTAACTTCGCATACTTGAAATTTAGGCATCCCGAGCATTCCGTTGCTAGTTCATCCTCCATAAACCATAATTTTACACTCCTTTAATAAAATATTCTGGAACGAATGTAAAACACAAATCACAGATTTTTTTGAATAATTTATTGGTCACCGACCACAGCAGTTATCAGAATTATCTGCAATAACAATGAATTCTGAAATAATTAACCAAAACAGAATGTGTACAAAAAGCATAGAAAGTAAGTAAATGAAACTAAGCACATACTGAACATTATTACTGATATAAACTTTGTCCCACATTTTCATTACATTTTCCGACATGGTGTGGCCGACGAATCTTCCAATCCAAACCATAAAAGTTCCTTCGCTAAAATTCCTGATTGTTACATAACGTAATGTATGAGTGGGAAAGAATGTTTACTTTACGGAAAATGTTAATTCTAATCAGTAATATGATCTTCAACCTAGAATCTTGAATATCACAAATTTGAAGAAAAACAGAAATTGAGCAATAGAATATGCTATGAAATATTTACGCCATCTTTATCAATATTCGTACTCATAAAGCAATAACCATAAAATATCATTTCTTTCCATTAGTGTAAAATCATACCTAATACGATCAAGCGTTTTCTTCCAAGCTCCAGTTAAGCTACAAATGGTTAACAATTCATACATCAGAAATAGCTCTTCAAGAATCTTTCCCTTTTCTTTATAACAAAGACTTTATAATAAAGATAAATTAAGTGATGGAAGCAAGTAAGTTGTCGTTTGTAGAGCAAATATAGCAAAGAATGTTTAAGAGGATTAGAAAGAAGCGAAATGGAGTTATTGACCTACAACACCAAGTATGATTAAGTAAGCAACCACAAAAATGTATATGACTGTAATCAGTCTTCCTCACTGTCTGCTTTCCTTTTGATTTCTTCCAAGAAATTGTCGAAAATCTTTTGATTGCTTTCAAACTGTGCCAACTAAAATACACAGTTGCAATGATGACTCTAGAAGCATCGAATATTGAAAAATTTTCAGATAAAGATAAATGAGATCAACCAACTATATCATCAAAACTATGGAATTCGTCTGCACATTGCCTTTCTCTCTCTCTCAAGAACGTGACGTATCATGAAGATCGCAAATTTGTGTGCAGAAAAAAGTTGCGCTTACGATACCAGCTTTGAAACCGTTCAGTTAAACCCAACCTTTGGGCTCTCGTAACTTGAATCTTGAATCTTTAGCTCATGAAATCGGTCTTTCTCGGTCAATACATTATAGCTTTTTCTAAGGCATACACCCACCCACATTTCGGCATCTTAATGGAAGCAGTAAAAAATATTTTATAAAATACCACAAAGTGGCCTTATTTCCTTTCTTCACTCTCCTTCTATTTTCAAAACATTTACCAGTTCTGGAATTACAGACGTGCTGTCGATTTGAAATGAAAGATGAGTTGGAGCCGATCTACACTGTTTCATGAACTCGCCTAAACCATCTGCCAAACTTTCACTACTTCCAAATGCCACCTGAAACAGAACTGAATATGAGACTAATATGATGAAACGGAATTCCATTTTGTGTTTTCTACCCGGAAAAGACTTTTGACTCCAAGATGATGAAAAATCAAAATATAATTTTGCGTGTAAGAATTTGAATTTTTAAACAGTCTCTTCCTCTCTCAATCAAATCGATATTCTTTCCTCTTGTATTCATATAACCTTGTGCCTCAATGTCAAATTTAGTTTGCAAATTTTTGAATACCTTAACATAACTGCCGTCGCTACTTGTCAAATCATCATCATCATCGCTCTGCGCCTCCGTTTCTTCAGCAGAATCATTTTCTAGTTTTTCACTTGCTCCATTATTCATTAAATTTACTCCAGAAGGAACAGTGGCACACTGATGCATACGACTAGGTACACTTGATGTAGAACATGTTGAACCGGAAGCCACAAGAGTAGGTGACGGTGATGGAGAATGAACTAAAATGATTCACATCATTGACAGAACCGTTATATAAACGCATAACTGGAAGAAGGCATGTAAACTATATGCCTCTCCAAAATTTTTTAAACTCCATGTTTTCTTTAATTCTTACTGAATAATTTAATTTTTGCTAAAAGTATGTATAAAAAAAAACTGACTAGAGGAAGAAGTTGGTGTTATCTTGTCACTATCTTCCAGTGCTCCTAGAAATCCCTGACCTGGAATCGAATCACTTGTAGCCGTAGTAAGCAAAGTTGAGAATGGAAATGAGTGAGTCCTTGATCGATTTTTCTAGAACAAAAAATTATTTTCTCGTTAGGAAAAGAGAACTCCAATAAATTCATCTAATAATCAAATTAGTACATAAGGATATTTAGAGTATTAGTTTATTATTTCTAACACCAATTCATTAATAGTGTACAATTCAATTCGGCCTTTTACTGTCATAATATATCCAGAGATAGAACATACCACTGATGCCAATCGGTGTGGCAAACTTGAGCTATATGGCTGATTACTGCTCCTCTCTAGGCCTAAAAATAATTCAACTGATATTTTTTCACAACATTCTGTACAACCACTGCAATCTCCTAAATTACAAATTCAAAATCTCAATTAAAAACTTCTGGGAACGTCCTTACCAACGATGCTTTTATCATTGCACAGATCACCATGACAACAAGCATCATCTGAAGAAGATCGAGAATGACCCAAATGAAAATGTACACGTCGTGAAGGGGTTTCTAGCACTAATTCATCAATCTTACCCTGAAAATCTCAACTTCAGCTATAAATAAACCAGAAGTGATAAACAGAACTGTACATCGTATTAAATCATGATTCGACACTTCGAAATATTTTTAAACATTAATTTTTTGATTTGTCGTTTCACTGAAATTTGACAAAATTTCAAAAAATTCACCTGTTTAGCAGGATCAATACTGAAAATGCTGATAAGGTTTGAAACCGGACTAACCGGTTCAACTTCACCACCGTGAGCAGGAACAGGACCAAATGGAATTAAAATTGGGACATCTATGTCTACGCTGGATTGGTGTTCATTGGTGCCCACATTCTTCGGTGTAGCCACAGCGCTTAGATTCACTTCCTGTGTCGCTGTACTGGAATTTGAAAAAAACTAAGAGTGGGTTCATTCTACAGGAACCTGCTTAAATTATGAAATGGTCCGTAAAATTTGCACAGACCTAGAGGAAAGAAAAACTGAAATGCCATGAGAAAATTATACCCAACTTAGAGCAAAAGATTTTCGACTATAATACTCTAGCTATCATAAAAGGAATCAAACTATCCTAACTAACGTGTAATAATGTGACACTACTACAACCACGTCACAGTTAACAAATTTTAATGGTAAAAAGCTATCATCTCAGTGAGAATTTAAGAGTTTACCGGTCAATTTCCATCTTTGTACGATACAGTAGATCAACAGAAAATCCACCAAATGGAGATGTTACCAAACCAACGCGAACTTTTTTCTGTTCTTCGCCCAAGTCCATTTCTGGTTCTTTTTCGTAAACCTTAAAGAACAATAAATTTATATTGTATTTTATATGATGACGATTAATTATGAATGACTGTAGGAATTCTTCAATTTTACAACTAATGAAATGTAAAACTAAACAATCCTTACTCTGTACATAATAATGAAAGTGTCAGGGCCTTGTTTGCGAACATAATAACGATAGGCTGGAGTCATTCGTGATGCTACAATTGCTGATTTCAAAAGTGTCCCTAGCTGGTGGTATAATTCGGTCCTTACGTTTACATTTCCATCAATCATTTCCGACTCATATCGGACACACCTGGAAAGTGATAAATTTAATGACACACTGATCATCACAAAATGTTCGAAATGCTCAAACCTCTTTTGCTGAACAACAAGTTCTGAATTCATTTAAAACTTGTAAATTTAAATTTGAGTTCATCCGTCTCATTTATGAATCTATCACGCAGATACTTCCATTCCTTCCGAATGAGAGTAACATAACTCATGTTGAAACAAGTGCAAAAAGACACACACCACGATTCCAAAGGTAGAACATCGCCATCAGCAGTATGAAGCAGAAAATCCAAAGTGAAACAATTAGCGTTCGGAGGATATCTATAAAAAATGAAAACGGAATAAGAGAAACGTCAAATAGAATAAATTTCAATAGACAGACGAGATAAAATAAAAGCCCAAGAAAGATAGCCTTGAAAATGCTAACTTTGTGACGCTTGTGCGTAACTGCGCGGCCACTTCACCTAGTTCATCGATTCGTATACTGAACCAATCTGTAGGATCCGGTGACACACTACATGATTGTACTATCAGTTGACCAAGACGTGATTGAACAAGTGCTTGAACCTAAAACAGACTTTTCCTTTGATATCCCGAGTTACTCCTCATTTCCCAGAATAATACTGAAACATTTAGACATAATCCAGAGCACTCTAAATAACAAAGACCATTTACCAAACGTGTTGTGAAGAATTTGCCAAATTTAACGAATTCTTGATATGATTTGGAGCATGTCGCTGAATCGCTCATGCTAAAATATAGAATATAGAAAATACAAACGTCGTCAAGTAATATTCGGAACAACTTGAGTTTAACATGCGCTTATAGTTAGCCCGTGCAGCCCTGAGATACGCTTCTGGAAAACAGTCAGAAAATAAAGCACTAATGCACCAGAGGTTTGAAGCTCAGCCTAACACGATAAATCTGCAAACTGACGATGATGTCAATTGATGTCTGTGTGGTACTCAAGAGTGCAGGGATGAAAATGAGCAGCAGGATATTACGATATAATTTCCTCACTAAATGTTCGATAGCCTGGAGGTTATTCAAGCCTCTCTAATTAATAGTGAGAACACTGCAACAAAATGAACTAGAAGCAAATGGGCCATTACCAAATGAAAAAGAGAAATGTAGAAAGAATATGATAAACAAAATAACTAGCAATTAAGCAATTAAAATAATCGACATGAAATTAAGGTGACAATGTTTGATTCTTCAGCAAGATAAAATGAAATGAAACAATCCTACGTTACCATAATATGTGGTGTAAAAGAATTTCCACTCAACAAATAATAACGAAACTTTATTATCTCAACTTTATTAAAGTCATTCCGACTTTCTCCAGAATGCAGTGGGGTGCTGAAGTACAAGAACGAGCTACCGGCTAAATTCAAAGTGTGAGCAAATACTGGTAACGGTTGACACTATAAATCTATCTTAGCCATTACACTGAATTGTCGACATGAAACGGTCTACGTTCGAATGCCATACAATTCAGGTAATCCCAATTAATTGGACACTGGAGCTGAAATTAAAATCAAATTTAAAGTTGACTGATTAACATCTCAATAATGTATTTTGGCTAATTTAGATACAATATAAAAATGCACAGTTTATACTTTCAAACTTAGAAGAAATTCAAAATGGCTTGAAATGGCTTGTAACAGGGCTTGAACCGAATGGCTCGCAAATTCGTTCCATCTCAGAAGTCCTCGGATTGCCACCCAACCAACAGTTCAATATCTTCCAGAAGCCTTACAGATCTTGTTATCTCTGCCACTTGTACCATATGTGCATTGTGCTCGCACGAACTTTACAATACATAAAGGGGCGAATTTTCACCAGCGATTCACAAGAATTCACGTCCGTCCGTGCAATTTCGGCATTTGAGGATATAACGTACATGAGAACGAGTTGGATGATTGTTCTTGTTTGTATTCTTATTTTGCTATAAAAAGGGATGCGGGACGGATATTACCTCTTGATATATGTGATAATGTTTCTAAACTGTGACGTCTAAATTACCGTTAGGAGGCTGCTTGTTGAAATTTACTAAATTTGGTTTTAGTTTTGCATGATGATTTCAGAAGCCGAAGAAAAGTTCCAAGAATAGGGGAAATGTTACAACTTGGCCTTCTTGCTGCTGGCCATCTTCCTATCTTTTTTGCAATGCTCTTCACGTTAATGCTAAGTAAGTTTGCGGATTTTTTATTTTCTCCTTACATTTTGGTCATACTTACAGATTTTTCCGATGTCCCTGGATACTGTGAATATGAGTGATTGTAGGTGCATCCTATGTGTTGGCGGTATGGCAAGGTGATGTAGATCCAGTTTTTCCATACATTTCGTCATCTGGAGATCATCGTCCAGAGTCGTGTTTCTTTAGTATGATGCTCAATATATGCTCGTTTCTGATAATGCTTATCATTTATTTAAGGTACTTAATTATAGATTGATTCGATTTCAACATGGTTTTTGAAATAAATATCGTTGAAATTGAGAAGTGATTGATGCACTTGACTTCAGAATCCCTTGAACTTCCTGTAGTTCATAGGATTAAGTATGTTGGGGAATTTTAATTCTGCTTATAAATAATGGCATTTATAGAAAAAGGATGAACTAACATTTATAATGTTTTATAACGCTCAGCTTCTAGATCCATTATTTAGGTGAAGGAAGGATGTATGTACATAGTGGAGCAAAGAAATTATAGGATGATAAATCTACAAAAGGAAAAGAATGCAACTTTTGTATACATTGGAAAGATGAAAGTGGGATACTTGGGACCGCTAAGATTTCATTGTATATTTTGGTATCACATTTCCGTGGTGTAAAATTATTAGCAAAATTATTAGCAAAATTTGTAGGTATTCGTTAGTAGTTGAGTTGAATCGTGACTCAGATCATCTACTGAAACGTTTGAATATTTTTACATTCATTATCGGTATGATTGGTGGAATTGGGATGTTCGTTGTCGCAAATTTTCAAGTAAGTTTAACCAAGTGAAATCGTGATATATTACGGATATATTATGTGCTAAGATTTTGTTTGTTTTTAATGTTTAATTCCAAGAAAAAAAAACAGTGGTTTTCATAGATTTTTCTGTTCATCACCCACTCACTCCCTCATTCTCTTTGTGTTTCTGAAAATAGGAGGTTAGAATCAAACTCATTAATGGTCAGCTTTTATGACAAATAATATAGTATGAGATATTCAGCTTACTTTATTACTGAATATTTTTTGTGTTAATTTTTGGATGTTGGAGATTTTTTCTGTATTTGCGCGATAGATTACAGTAGCCACCTCCAAAGAAATGGAACTTAATAAATCAGAACAGTTCAAGTTGTGAGCAATTAACGAAACAAAATATTCAACAAACGATACTTAGCCGTAAGTGCTGTTGTGATAATGTCATCACTTCCTTGAAGATTTAGCTAGAATGAACTGGATAAAATCTAAATAAACAATGATTGAAAAAGAGTTTCATTGAAAACTTTTTCTAGGAATCGGCCGTTATTACAGTACACTTAACTGGAGCGTTTTTATGTTTTGGATGCGGCTGTTTTTATATGCTTTTGCAATTTTGTCTTACCATTTACATGTACCCATTATACAACAGCCGTCGGATTGGTCTCATTCGTGGTGCGATAGCATTATCTGCCTTACTGTGCTTCATTACAGGTTGCCACTTCTCAATTTTTGAAGATTAACTTCGCAAATTTTATTTGTCGAACTGAAGCACTTGAAATGAATAGTTCCTACTTTCGTTCTATTAGTGATACTGGCATAGTAAATACCTGTTCAGGATTTTCATATATAATGTTGAAATTGAGCACAAGAAACTGGAAATGAAGGGAAGGACAAAGGGAAGGGGATAGTGACAAACAAGTAAAAGGACTCAACAGAATTATAGTTTCAATATTTTTTAGTTGTTTCTTTTGGTGTAGCTGCATCAAAAGAGTTTCACAAACATTATCCCGACTTACCTACACCGAGACCTTGGTCCAGAAGAACAAATCAACCCGTAAGATTTCTTCTATTAAAATTTTTTCAAGATAGGATATATTCGAAGATTTTTTAGTTCTGTGCTAGAACTAGCTTCTAATTTGAAACTAATTTGAGAATCTTAATGTCTAGTAATGTGGAAGAGTAATGACGAGTCGTTTGTTCAGAGTTTTGGATACATAAGAAAATTTTCTTTCATGTTCAGCAAAATCTAGGTGTATAGCTGTTTTGGTTAAGCAGGTAATTTAAACGAAATGAGCTTATAGCTACCATCAGAAACCGGTTTATATGAGGTCACTAAACATTATTTTCTTTCGTTGAATAATTCCTCTTTGGAATTGAACATGTTGGTTTATGATCATTTGGTATAAATTGTTTTGTGATTCACAGTTAAACGTTTTAAATATTTGCATGGAAATAATCTCAGGTATTTTTTTAGTTAATTTATTTTCAGGGTTACAATCTTCACTGTGTTTCTGCTATTGCTGAATGGTGTTTGGCAGTATGCAATGTGTTATTTATATTAAGGTATACTTTCAACATTTTTATATCATTTTCTCCTGAGGTTTAAAAAGTATTGCTGTGTCTTACTACGCTTTAATACACATCAAATCCGTGAAAATTTTGACAGAATAATTTTTCTCCTCTAATATATTAGCACATTTTATTCTATCAGTTCTCGTGATGAATAGTTTTTTGCGTTAGAAAAATATTTAGGAGCGCTTTCCTTTATCTTTTGACTCTACCCTTTTACAATTTCTCCACCTCACCTTGTATTAGTACCGTCACAGTTTGATTTTAAGAACCGGATTTTTTCATTGATTATGAATTCATGTTAATTTTGTCTGTTATAAAAGATTATTATGATGATATTTCTTGTAGCTTTTCTCGCGATTTTGAGAAACTTCGTGTTGAATTGAGTGTGCAGCCGCTAGTTTCGCATTTGGATCATAGTCCACTGTGGCGCTCCGCTACCGATCTCAGTTCACCTTACTGATGGTGAAATTGCTTATATGCATATAAATCATTGTTGCTTTATTTTACTTTTAAAAAAATGCGTAGTTTACTTAATGAAGAAGTTTAAAGCTATCGTTTTCGTCAAAAATCAATAAATATATATTGCGATTTGAATTCGAATTGGATCAAATTAGGTACCTATTGACAAGGTTGGAGACAGCAAAGTAGAGTCATTATATAGAATATTTTACCGGAAGCCTGGAGCAGTTCTAGAAGATGCCGTTTGTGACCGTAATGGGTTTTGCAATAACGTTACTTCAAGGATACAAGTTGGAATAATTGAGTGAACAGCTGTAATCATTGTATATGATTGCAATTTACTGGATTTGTAGTAGTATAATTTCAAATTCCCCAAAAATTTATTTGCTTCATGACAATAGTTGTACCAAAGCTTCAATGTGTTTATTGGATCCATTTTCACACGTTTGTATTTAAACTCTTGCATCACATTCTTATGGCTTTGGTGACAACTTATTGTAGTACTCGGCATAAGAAATGCCATAAAATTATCAAATTTCGGGTGTAGAAACTCTTTAACCATGTTTAACTTTATTCAACGTTTATTTTTTTAAAGTCATACCCTAAGATCACGTTTCTGCTTTTATGATCATTGCATGTAGAGCTGAAATCATGTCAGTTCAGGAAATTTATATTTCATCGAACATTTTGCATGAACATTTCATGAACATTTTTTCATGAAGATTTCATGAACATTTTGCTTTTTCCATCCTAGTCATGCTATTTTTGCTGTCAATAGTTTTTCTCATTATCATATCGCTTGTTACATGTAACAGAACTGAATGCTGTTTATCGTTTTCATTCATGTATTTTCAAATGACACTGTCTCATACGCTTTTAAAAATTCACGTAACTTGTCTTACTTCTATTGATCTCTTCATAATCATCTATATATATATATATATACATATACATATATTCAATCAATCAATTGTACATTGATAGTGATATCAAAAAATAAATTTTAAAGAAAAAAACTCAATGAAAACGTTCGGGAGAAATAGTTGTTTTCTTCAAGAAGGTTCCAGCTATTGAGAAGCAGAACAGCCTTCATATGATCATATGATCAGTGCGAATTTCCTACGCCAGCTATTCAATTACCCAGTAGTCGTTCTCAAGTAAAGGACGAGAGGTATCTAGTTAACTACCGATGAAAGCAAACTTAATTTCCAATTTCCCTTCCCATTATATCTGACTAAACAGTCGTAAATGCCGACTAAAAATCTATTTTCTAGCTCAGCACCGTCGAATTGTGAAAAGAACGCTCCCCGATAGGTTGTAAGTTCGTCACGTAGTCTGCAATGAACCCAAAGTTTGCTTCTGAGCCATACTAGTGAGCTGTATGGTGCGCCTTTCATAGTTACAGCATTTTTTTAGTAAGCAAAAGGCGTCAAAACTCTTGCTGGCAAAGAAAGTTGCGAAGTGTTGAATGTTCAGGAAACTTCTGTATTCATGGTGTGGGGAGTTTAGCTTTTTTACTAGAAACAGCTACCAATTTATGTTTTTGTTGTGGAGCTGGCGCTTTCTTGTAACAACTTTCCTACCTATTGCAATCCGTAGATAGTGGATTGCTCCTTATATTACTTTCTCCCCATGATTCATAATGTGCTTTAAAGTTCGAAATTAAAAATATATCATTCGATTTAATTGCAGTAGTAAAATAACCACTAAATGTATATACATATTAGTGTTACCCCAGTTTGTGTCGGCATTGGAACTGTTTCACTTTCAAATGATACAAGTTCTGTCAAATCCAGTCAATTGGTGCAGGTTCAACTAAAAGTACGGATCTCGGCACAGTCTCCAAGTGTAAAATCAAGTTTTTGGTACCCTGATGTCACCACAGAGTGTGTCATTTTGATGGTGAGATGAATGCATCATAGTGCTAAGAACATCAGGAAATACAATATTGAAAATGTTCGAAAACGATATTGGGATGCGCGTTGTTATCGTGCAAACTTCCCGGCATAATTCCATGTTCAGTTCATCTCATTTAATTTTTCAGATTTTTTGCAGCTAAAGTCTTGAAGTGTTACAATTCTTAACGAATAGCAAAATATACAATCAGAAAGTTTCGTCGCGAAAAGAATACCGTATGAACGCATCACACCGGGAGAGCCTTTACAGCGACACCTGATGATTACTAGTTCTAGAAATAATAAATGTAAATGTGGAACATAAAGAAATTCCGAAGTTTCTCGAGATCTAGTTTTGCATGTTTTCATTCGAGGAGAAGGCCAAGACTCACAGTATTTCACAAGTTCAAAAACTCTGACGGAAACGCATCGAAAACATGATTTTCTCAAGCAAGGTACAGCATTAAATGCTATAACTCATAAATTCCCGGTCATACTGAAATAAAGCGAAAATAAAAGAAAAAGTCGAAATAAATTCTTAACAATGAAAATCGAATTAGACCGTCGATATCTGAGCCAACAATGTTCTTCAATATAAAAATATCGAGTCTAATTTTTAGCAAAATCTGGCCGCGGTCGAAAAGAATTAAACTCTTCCTACTGTAGTATATCAAAACATCGATAACCACCACATGCATATGCAGCTTACCATGAAAGCCTTTAATTTTGTGAATTCCAGTCTAATTAATATCCCTAGCATCCACCCAATCCAAAAGGGTGTGGTTCGCTTCTAAATTAATAAATGACATGAATTATTACATTTAACCATTGTGTGGATGTACATCTCAAAATTAAATGAAGCTCATTTTTGTGCAACAAAACAAATGAATTCACATAAAAGATCTGGAAAATACAAACAACAAATGATAGGAGGTAGAAAGTATAAGCAAGAAAAAAATTTTTCAAACTGATGTAAACAGTAAGGAACTATCTATAAACAGTTTACTTACAGTGTTCAACTTATAATAAACGCACTACATATCAACTTAGGGCACTTGGTCCAAATTTATACACCAATTTCTTCGGATATAGTCCTGTTTTCGGTACCGGTACCAATATCCGCTTTTCATAGTATGTTCTAGAAATAAAACATACAAGAAATTATTTTGCCTACCGAATTTCCAATGCATCCCGTTATATCAATTTAATAATTGTAGCCCACAATTATATATATATATTGACTTATCATTTACTCTAATTATTACTTGGATATGAAGTTAGTGTGAGGAAGCACTTATACTTTTTATAGTTTAACCAAATGAAATAAAGCTTCCACATTTTCATGATTCTTATTGCCTACTCAAAGTTTAAAGATGATTTCGATGTTTCTGCTCCTGTGTACTTTCCATATTCCTTCTCATTGTCTCATTTGTAAATATTTCCTTGTTTTAAATTACAGCCAAGATTTCACCTCATAGCTCGGCTGAGTTTTTCGTAGGTCATTTTTTGATTGTTTTTCCGCTCACCCCACAGTTGTGCCAACCTTTCCGATTCAACGATTCGAAAAACGCCTTCTGCGGGATCTTCCCATCTAGAAATTAATCAGAAATTCAATGTCTACACCCTATTTTTGGTATAACTAGTTTTGTTGTTGGATACATATCGATATTGATAGATTGAAATATTTTTTTCTTTACCTCTATGAACCCTATCTTTTTCATCTAATCTTTTACTTCACCAATCTTCACTTCTTGTAACCTTGCTGTCAATTTACTACCTTAAGTTTTAAAGAATGTTTTTGCTAAATCTATCACAAGTACGTGAGACAACTTGTCACATTTATACATAACAATACTATCACGTGTTTGCACTATGACGTTACTATATTGTGTATGAAAACGCTGCCATAGAACTCATGAAATGAAAGAAGCTAAAGAATGCTCACCGCACAACACTTGGACAAGTACTGGGATCTTTCAAAGCATCGCGTATAAATTCCCATAATTTGTTCCCTTTGGAGTGTTGTGAGTGCTTTCTTGGCCTTCCATCCTTATTTTTTCGGACTTTGCAATATGTAGGTCGTAACATGAAGGTTTCATCTGATCCAACTGAAAACTGTATTTAATATCGAGGAATGCAAAAACGTTGTTACAGATTGTTACATGGGGACTTCCCCTTTTTATGCCGAATCCAATATCTATTATACGAATGTTTCAGTATTAATACTACCATAGCAAAAAGAAAAACAAAATCATTTTTTCTGAATATCGTCTTGGAGGATTTATCCAAAAACTGCACCACGTATCCAAATAACATCTTAAATTTTTACGGCTCAGTCGTCAGGCTAAACTGTTATGAAATGAAAATATATCCTAGTTTATTAACCTAATTCTAACACCTGCCAAAGATTTCCTTCGAGAATGAAGATTACATTTCTTCCAGAAACGTTCTTTGGCTTTCGTTTCTCATGTCCACCATTATGAAAAAAAATTTTCTATTCAACTACTAACTAAAAAGCCGAATTTGATAATCCAAGCCTCGTCAGAAAATGACATTATTACTGTGAGTATGAAAGATATGATAGTGGAGAGTTGTTAACTATTGCTGTTTATTTAAGCTGAAATTTTATAGTAATTAATTACTAAATATTTCCAGACTAATGAACACCCACAATGCAGAGATATAAAAAAAAACATGCGTTATAGGAAATGTTAACTAACCAGGAGAATTGAAGTTGAAGGTACCAATGATATCAGTGTTGACTTGGGATAATGTATCTGAAGGTTGCATGCTTGCCGAACTATCAGACATCAGAAGTGAAGATGCATTGACGGACAATCCACTGTTGGTGCAGGAAACCCTAGATTATACATTAACTATTAATATCAGTTCCAAATCTAAACAAATTCTAATTATAAGAAGTCAAATTTAAGCTCATAACAGCTAACTTCAAGAATCAATAAAAAAAATAGCAAGTGAAGAACCTTGTGTCGTCCGGTACTCGACTCGTGCTTGCTTTTTCCGGTGATTTGTAAGAATATTCATCAGTTGATCTTTCTTCTATAATAAATTAATGATATCAATCTCAACAAATACACATCCGAAACTATTTTCTGAGTGAAAATCTAATGATAGAAAAAAAATTAAAAATCTTTATACAAGTAACAAAACAATGAATGCAGTAAAAGGAAAATATACAACTTTGCTCAAAGAAGAATCCGCTATTCAACTATATAACATTCAAAAATGCAGTTGATCTAAAATTTACCCGTCAAGGAAATTTGAAAAATACTGTATCAGATAAGCACGACTAAAACACAAACCGGCTAATAATTTCCTGAATTCAGCATGCAATAATGAACCATATACGGCATCTCTTTGTTTAAAATCGATTTCACGCATCTGGATCAACACCATACCAGTACAATTTGCAAATTTCTGCATTTCTAAATCTTCGAATGGGATATTATTCCGTCTAGCAACATGTAATAACCATGCAATAACATCGCCCATAGTCCATTCCTGAAACGATAATCAATTTCTTCTTCTCTTTCCTTTTCTATCGTATTGTCGTAATTTTACATTTGCTTTTAGTCATTCAAAACGTTTTCGTCCCTTTTTTTCTCCTTCCTTTCCTTCACTTAACTAGAAATAATCATACTTTTGGGGTGTCGTTAAATAATAATGCAAATAAAAAGAGCAAATGTACTTCAAAACGAAAACAATTTTTCTTCTCTGCTAATATTTTTCTTCGTATCTATTATCTATCATTTTCTCTTTCCTCCTTCTCCTATTTCTTCTTTTTTTACGTTTTGCCTACTGCAAATAGCATTAAAAAGGAAAAAAAAATGTTTATTTCCAGCAAATACAGCATATTTTCCTTCATTCTTCCATCAATGTAATTAAATGAAAACAAATTCACGAGACAGAAGTAATTATTAATTAATTGATTTCTTAGCATAAGCATAATCACTGTGCATAATCATTGATTTCTGCTCATTATCTCAGTTTGAATGAAATGGACTATTATTTTTCCACTACATCCATTATCATCCTTCAACAGGAGGATTTTACTTTCAAAATATTTACAAATTTAAAGCGAAAAACGATTATTTTCATATAATTAATTTATGTCTTCCAGTTGGTCAGATAAAGGAGTGTATTTGTGATTTGTAATTCATATAAATAATTTGTTAAAATATGTTTACCTGTGGTTCTTTGGAAAGAAATCGTGTTAGATCAACACGCTCATTGTTCGGTATTGGCTTAAACTGTGTAGCTGCTGGATTCATATGCGTTCGTAATATTTCACCTCCAAAGTGATCAAACAGCGCCGGTAGGCACATTAGCGACGGATTGAACTCTGCTGCTGCAATAGGCGCCACAGGACTTATTGCAGCATGCTTCTGTGCTATGCACGCCTGTAACTATTCCCTTACTGATCATCATGATGTTACAATATAGGAAAGGATTATTTCATATCATTTCTTCATTTTCAAATAATGTACACATTCTTCTCCACTCTTATACACTTTTCTTTTTATGACGAATACTTATGTGATAAACGAATAAATATCACTTCGATCAAACGACTGGAAAAACCCCTCGCTAAATATGAAAAAGATTAGAGGATTTTGTTATTTAATCAAAAGTCTTACAGCGGTTAGAAGAATGAAATAGTTAGAGGAATAGTAAGATTAAAAAGAATTTCCATGAATCTTTAAAGTTTACATATCAAGAAATTTTGCTTTCAGAATAATTCTATCCAAAAAAAAGAAAGTCTGTCAGCTCAAAAATAAAAATATCTGTCAGCTGGTTATGCTAACAAGAGGAGATATACAGAATGCCTCGGGACAATAGCTCAAACCCTAGATTGGTTCTCAAATGAAATCCTGAAACTTTAACATATCCCAAATTTCATCCTCATAATAATAATATGTAGCAAAAAAATTACATGATTTCCTTTTTTATAGTTTTATCACTTTTTAATCATTTCATATAATGGCAAGAGTTCAAGTAATTATTTTCTAGCTTCCCGAAAAAATAGTGTATTATTTTCCGCAACAATTCATCATTCACTTTTCCCTTTCCATGTCCCCCACCGTTTCGAAGAGGAAATCATTGAAATATGGATGAAGTCCCTTCAATGGCTTAGCACTACACGTCGTTTGTCAATATCGGTCATCAATGGTAAATAAAATATTAAAAGTATGATTCATAGAGTGCCAGGAAAATTTTTCCTCCTTTAAATGTATCGAATATAATTTCGTAAATATCTAATTACTGATAATTGAAGTAAGGACACAGAAGGGTTGCGAAGACATGAAAATATTACATCTGGCTTAAAGAATCGGAGTCAAACTTCAAGTCTTTTGAAATAGCACAAGCCGCTACCACAACCGCATCCGGTTGTCCCCGCTTTCGATTTCCAAGTCGTTTCACTTGATAGTAAACGGTAATTCCACGTAATTTAATGGAAGTGGGCCAGTGATGACACTGTGAACGAAACCAAGATAAAAGAAATATATATATATGGAAAGATGATAATGTCAGTACCTGCTGTGAATCGTTTGATGGTAAATAGTCGGTTCTTGTCTGGCCACACGGTAAATGTACCGACGGATAAATGAATGCGGGGTTAAACTGATTAGCGTAAGAGGTAATATCAGTATGGTGAGATGAAATAGGTATCGGTCGTGGAATATGTACAGAAAATGCACTGGAATGCGTATCCGATGATGGATCAATTGCGACTTCTCTCAATCGTAATTTAGCGGAGGACAAGAGATGATGATGATTTGAGCGGTCGGTAGTTGATGGGAAGAATTGATTACTGAACAGTTAACAAAGGCTGATATTGTATACTACACCTTTTTTGAATGTCATATATGTATTAGCTTTACAAATAGATAATGTCATATATGTATTAGCCTTACAAATAGATAATTTCGAATAAGACGATAATGATCAGTTGCTATAACATTTCTTCCCGCTTTTTCAAATTTCAATTATCCATACATTCCAGTTTGCTTTCTTTATCCAGATTCCTTCCTGAAATGATATTTTTTTTGTTGTAAAGAACAGTCGATTACATTCGAATAGCTTCATTTTTGGGTAATGGTAACGATCGGAAAGTACAAGTTGAGAGAAACTGAAAAGTGGAACGATGAATAGTTCTTACTGATCAAAATTGTACGATATTTCTAATTTGAGGTTTTCGTTTCTCCTCTGACAGAAAAAAATTTTTCAGCAACTTTCTGAATTGTAATTTTTGTGAGGTATAAAATAAAACAAATAATACAGAATGGAAATAATATCACTAAATGACTAATACTTAATGAAAGGTTGTTATACCGTGTCATTTAGTTATTATAAATATATATTGTTCTTTGCAACAAATAATAGATGAATTAATTAACAAAATAATATTACGATTGCTTACAATATTATTTCATGAGAAAATGAACACTGGCTTCAAATTCCAATTTTGTAACATATACAATAGCACATGCATGACAATACAAATTTTGATTGACAATCTAGAAGGGAGCATTGGATTTAAACGATAATAGGATAAAGAAAGAAAAAGAAAAATATAAAGTTCTACGGGGAGTCCAAAGGTCAATAAAGAATATGTGGAAAACAAGTTGGCTGAGCTAATAATTTCAAGAAAAACAACAACTGCCTGGCATTTTCACTCCCATCATGGTATCAAAGTGTCGATTGCGAGTAATGCATTCTCATATATGCCAAATGATATTGCAAAAATAGAGAGGTAAGAGATGTGGGTGAAGAAGGTAAAGAAAGAAAGAAAAATTACTTAATGAATGAAAAGGTTAAACGCTACGTCTCAAACTGAAATTGATAAATTTTCTTACAGTAATAATAGTAATAATAATAATAATAATAACATTGCACGAAGCTATTTTTGTACAGTCGATGCCATGTCATACGATGTCATAGTATGCTTATCCCATCAATGTCAGCCACGATTTCTTGAAATTTAAATTCACAAAACTTCGAAATAAGTGAAAACATTGCACAATAGATGAGACAATTATAAATACTTTTAAATTCAAACAGACTATACGAAAAGTAATGGAGTGAAAGATGAAAGAGAGGTGTAGGAACAGGTGGGGAGAAGATATATTCAACTTCATATTTTGCATCCACCAAACCAATAACTTTTAAAATTAATCAAATAAATTAAAACGAAGTCAAAATGCCATAGATATGGCTAACCGAAAGTGTTGACGAAGCAATGACAAGACAAAAAGGAGGAGAGTTCGTGTTATTGATAAAATTTCAAAAATAACTTCAACAGCATAATCCACATGCACTTCTCTTACTTCAATACTGATCCGAGCAGCTGCAAAGCGGCGAAGAACAATCAACGATTTCGAGTACTTTTTTCTCCTTCCTAACATCAAGATTGTGGTAATCAATTGCTATCGGAAAACGAAAACTAATGAAACTAATAGCTTCTTACAAAAAAACAAGGGAATATAAAATTCGTCTATGAATTCAGTCCTCGACGATTTGCAATTATTCCTCAGAATCTGTCTGGCTGGAAACTTGCTGAAAAGTATATTACATACCTAACAATCTTTCAAAGCACTGAAAAAATAATCAAACGTCAGTCCTACTTCCAAGACATCTAAAATGTAAAGAATTACTAAGAAGAAGGAAGGATGAGAAGGAGGGAAAAGGGATGGAGAGATATTTTTTGCTTTAAATTTGTAGGAACGAAATTCTAAGACTTCAAAGGATTCGGTCTTCAGAACGAACTCTTTTAAATATCATGTTCTCTTTTTTCTTGTTTCCCTTTTTCTTCATTTTATTCCATAGTGGCTTCATTTTTAACTCAGACAATTACGGCGCAATATTTCTCTCTTAATCCCATAAGGATGAATCAAAAGTTTCTATGATCACATTTCGGAAGAATCTTCACATTAATTACAAAGAAGGAAAGCATCAAATAATTTGATATTTATTGTCAAAATGATCATACATTTTGTTCGAATGCTAATTTTGATATAATTTATACGAATAAAACGGTAATCAGTGTGATGTTCCCACGATGCCAGCAAAAGCGGGACAGATAAATATACATACCTTCCTCCTCTTTCCGCCTCCCATCTCACCTGCCCACTTATCTCAAATAATGACTGACCATTATGGATTACAGAAGGTTATAAGTCCTGCACCGCCTCACGAATAATTCTCGCGTTTTCGTTGTAAAATTTTGTAAATAAACAAGCAGAAATGAAGAAAAACAATTATGGTACCACAACGTTCAGTACAAATCGTTGAAATGTACGATACGAGGATAGAGCAATGAAGTAATGTAATGTAATGGCGAGTAGGGGGAACCTCGTAGAATGGAGAGAGAGAGATAGGGTTGAACTAAGCAAAACGCAAACGATGAAAGAGAAAAACATCGGGAAGAATGAAAACGGAAAGAGGTGACGAAAACGAATGTCAATTTTGTTGAACTGTATCGCTTTTTCTTTTTGTAAATTTGAAATGGATATTTTGATGTGCGCGTACATGCGTCCTTTCTGTACGTGTCTATATATGTCTGTATGTCTATGTGTGTGTGTAGATGTACGGATGGATGTACGGATATATCCGTGTAAACGTTACGTATGCATCAAAATTATAATTTGGAGGAGAGGTAAAAACAAAAATTAAAAGGGAAAAAAAGAATAAAATAGTTGAAGTAATTGATGGAATGCTACTTTGCAAGTAGTAATACTTATTTTAGAAAGGGCAACGATCAATGTTGAATTGAGAAAATAAAATAGAACCAAAAAAAAATTACCCCATAACTAATCATTACTACCACCGCCATCAGTACGACCATCCCCACATAGCCAGTCAAGGATTTCAATTCTCTGGCTCTAACTCTTTCACCCTACCCTTTCCCCATTTCTACCCCTTTTTCCCCTCCAACCATTCACATCCCCCTCCCCCACCTCCTTTAAGCAAACAAAACCCACACCACACCACTGCTACCCCCGCCCTACTTACAATAGAGATACCTCGACCGGCTCCGGAATGCATATCGACAAATGATTATTTTCCGGCTTTTATTCGGAGTCTATTCTCCTACCAATCTACTTACCATTTTACCCCACTTTCATTACCCCGATTTTTCATTTCCCATCCCACGATCTCAACCCAGAGAACTTCTATCACGGTGCTCCCTTTGTTTCTGATTCCTTACTCCTTTCAACTCCCCCTCTTCCTCTCCCATCCTGTCACCTATTGCTTTTTTATTTTTTTGAAGTATTGTTTACACACACATACACATACACACACACACACACACACACATACACACACACACATACACACACACACACACACACGCATACATACATATCGTCACCATGCACTTTCGGTTTTAATTTTGCCGCATTTTATGCTTTTGGTAAACATAATGGTAACATCAGCAAGACTACTCTTTTATTTCGAGAGAAAATTGAGTGAAGTGAGAAATGGAATTATCGTTTTGCAATAAGTTATTGTTGAGAATAGAAGCAATTCGGCGATTTCTCGCTTGCATTCATCGATATTGTTGCATTGTTTTACAGATATTTCAGAATGATTCTTTGCGCTTCTTTGGGGTATATTTCTCGTCCAAATATCTGCAAAAAGATCGAACGTGACCTATCTCCAAATTCGGAATTATTATTACTGGGGAAAGGCTGACTAACCCAACGTTAGGACTGTGCCTTTTTTCTTTTTGGACCTAAATGTAGTAAATATTCCAGAATGGCATGGAATGGATAATAATTTGAAACAGAAACATTTATTTTTGAATTTCGTAAAATGTTCTGCAATATAGGTGCATTTTTTTATAAATATACAAGGAAAATGATTATAATACAGTTATATCGTAACATGCAGAACATATCGTCGACACCGCACGAAGATATTACACTTTGAAATACCATGTTTACATGCTATGAATACAGATGCCAGTTTCTTGTTTGTTAAGTAATCTAAAATGACAAGTAGAAAAAATACGTTTAATATAATCATGCTAGAAAATTTCCAGGAATTCAAAAAATGTGAATTATGACACGAAGGTAGGGAATGACGACCAAGCAAGAATAAAATTAATCACTATGAGACTTACATACATACATTTATAAGCTGAAAAGACAAAAATCAACAGCTTTCAAATTGAAAAACTGAAATCAGACGGAGAGATTGCTTTAATCATATTATGAAATTTTTGCAACAAAGCGATTATGATTATAAAATTATCACGTGATACAAAGTACTGGTAGTAACAACAGGGTGAGGAAAGAGATGAACAAAAAAATAAACGAGGGTTTTAAACAAATTGGTCACAAGAAACAAAGAAAACATAGCTTCATCAAATTCTGTAAATTTATGCAGGAACGGTAATTAAGAATCGCAATCTCGGAAATCATTTCAATTCTCAAAAAAAAAAATCATCATTTCAATAACATTTAATCATCATTTCAAAAAAAAATCATCATTTCAATAACCATCAACAGCCATACTTCACATACAAATACGGTATACAGCATACTGAGAGAAAAGGAGTTCTTAAGCTTTTCCTGATGTATTACCACATTAACTCCTTTCGGGTAACGATAGATAGAACTGGTAGAGTTGTATGACATCAGGAATCAATCCAAATATAAAAGTACCAATACCACAAGGAACAAATAATTGAATTTGATAACGTTATTGTTGTTAAAATAACATTCAGAAAGTTTTGTAATAATCCTGTTTAATCTTTATTGACAACGTGCACAGAACTTGAACATACGTCCAAAACTTTAAAGGAGTTGCATGCAACGTTATTGCTTGGTATGCCTCAAGAATATTTATGTTCAAAAATAGAACTTTTTTCGAGATTTTAAATGGAAACTTCTTGTCTCAATACATATGAAACTACAACAATGTAAACCGCAACCTTAATTTCTTCGAAGTGTTCTTAAGGCATACCAAGCGTAACTGTTCGTAAGGTGTAAACTTCACTGCAACCTTGAAAAAACAGAAAATACTTATTCCTGCTAATGAATAGAAACTGGAGGATTTTGAGAATTACGTAATTGAAAAAAATCCAAAGATTTCTCGCACAGCAACGATATTAGTTCCTTCTCTGCACAAATTACAAAATAATGTTGGAAAACTTGTTGGAACCACAGATCCTAATATTTCTTGTCTTTCCCACAGTTTTTCATCGAAGAATTCGGACTGGAATGAATTTTATTGCAGGAACTATCAGGACACTTTTGGTTAATCTGCCGAACCATTTACACCGTAACAGAGGAGCTAAAAGATTTAAGAATAATTATGAAACAGAAATGTTCGAATTCGAAAACTTCTTCTCTTTTTTACTTTACTTAATCAAATCATTAAAAAAAAGGCAAATTTAACCTACCACTTCTTGCAATGCCAACTGATTATTCGTGAACACTTCCTGATAATGCTTTAAGCTTTGCTCCATATCACTGCGCATATGTCGATATATATCTGACTGGTAATTCAACGCAAGAACACAGAACGAATTGAACTAACAGGAGAAAGATGAAAAATATATCTGAAAGGCATCATAGCAAACATTGTGACCAAAACCTTCACCATATTGTTGTTCATCAAGTTTAACACTATCAAAAATGAATAAAGCATTAAAATCCTTCAGTTTCGAGTTTTTGTACATTAAATTTTAAGCAGTACTAAATGACAAAAAGATCCTCTTGTACCGTGAAACCTAGACTGGAATTCTAAAAGGCCGTAGAGTGATATATTAAAAAAAGGATTGTCATACTAACCAACGCATTGTTTTGTTTAATCTAATCGATAAGCAAGTTTCACTGATAATCTGTCACTACACTATTACAATACCGCTGATCACAATATCTAGTGAGTGTCAACTATACCAAAGAGATTATTCATGTTTTTTAACATAACATGCTAAATTCATGAGCACATGAATTACCCTTACTCAAAAGATGGTGTTCAAAGCTAAAAATATCCGTTTTTAGGCACTACGACTAAGCAAATAAAATGTCACGTACCGGTACAAAAAGCCTATAAGAAAAGGCCCAAATGCAACTTATTGGTTCGAAATCACGATGTATCATTTCAAACACGTAGTTTACTAACTTAAACACATACTATATTACCCAGAACATATGACACGCCACCTGAAATCCATGATTTACGTTTTCGAGAACGTGACTTAAAACATATCCATTATTTATATTCATAAACTGGATAATCTCACTATTTATGATGACAAATTTATGATGACAAACTTAAGGGCAAAAGCACCGAACAAAGATAATCCAAACCAATTTCAGGAGCGAAACTACAAACCACCGAAGAATCATAACACGAATCCAGCAGATTCAGCGGCCTCATAGATTTGCGTGAAATGTTGACTGTTCGGATAAAAGTATTAGATGGACGAATATTCGGGTATGGAGATGTAGTAGGGATTTATGTTGCCCTGACTATTTCCCCGTTTCGCGTTTGTATAATTATCATGTCCGAAACGGATATTCCAGCGCGCGATTTCTTTTGTTTTTCAAGTCATACATTTTGAATTTGAAAACATTTACTTCCTCACTGCATTAAATTTGATTTATCTATGACGACTGCATCTTCAGAAATCCACTGATTAGAGAGAACTTTTGTTGCACCGGATTTCCCATATATCAATATCGTTGTTCATAAAAAACATCAGTACACGTATTAGTTGAAGCGTTTACCTATTAATACTCAAACAAACCTGGTCAAAAAAGTTCCGCCAGTGAGTCATGTTTAGCGTAATCTAAAATTACATTCCGATCATAACATTAGCAGATCTATTGGAAATTGTTCAAAGTGCTGGATTTTATTTTCATTCGAAATTTGAATTTCGAATGTTGAAACTTTTTTTGATGATGCCATTATTATGCGTAGAGCATAACGTTTATAAAGGACGCTTTAAATTAATTGCTCGACATTTATTAAATTTTCATTCGTCATCAGCGGTTAGAAATGGATGAGCGGTTGTAGCGACGAATTCCCAAGAATCGGTGTGAGTTGCATAGGCGGAAAGCGTTGCAGGGCTGGGGTGGACCGTAGAATATTTAATTAGCCCTGTGGAGTGGTACGGGTGGTGTTGCTTTTTTTAAGTTTTTCAGAGAGGTCTGCAGTGGTTTTTGACGAAAATTTTGAGTGGAATTTTCTTTGGATGGGGATTTTGAGTCTCATTAGGATGAGATTTGATTCCAAGAGCCAATTCCTGCATTTTCGAGATTGAAATAGCTTGAGTTATTTTTTTGATACTGAGTGAAGTCATCCATAACACTTGACATCCCATCAATCAAAGTTAACCAGTATTTCTTTGCAGATTTTAGGCCGTGTTAATGGCTACTATCCGTAAAAAATTGGTCATCGTTGGCGATGGCGCTTGCGGTAAGTCATCATTGTGCATGCCTAGAATGTTTTGCGGTCCAGTTTTATTCAAAACCAAGTTGTTAAGAGAATTTCAGATTTAATTTCAAGATTTAAATAGACAAAAGTTTTCAGTTGGTTTTTGGTTTGATGAGATCGTAATTAGTTGTCGGATGATAAATAGGAACTACGGCATATCGAATGTTTATCTATTCTGGTAGGTGCAGTTCACGGAACAAAAAAACTGCAAGGAATGTCATTTAAGATATTCAGTCAGTCAGTGAAATAAACCATTCACAGAATAGTGTTTTTCAGGTAAAACTTGCCTTTTAATCGTGTTCAGTAAGGATCAATTCCCGGATGTTTACGTACCAACAGTGTTTGAAAATTATGTTGCGGATATTGAAGTGGACGGAAAGCAAGTAAGTTTATATCTAAAAATGACATTGATGGTTTGCGCCGTGCGATAACATATGTAATTAGTTTGACATATTTTAGATTTATGGCTAATTAAATTGCGGAGGTTTTTCTGACAATATTCTGAAGCGAGATTACTATTACCCCGAAGTATATTTGTTCCCTTTTAATTTCAGGTGGAACTGGCTTTATGGGATACAGCCGGCCAAGAAGATTATGATCGATTAAGGCCACTCAGTTATCCGGATACTGATGTAATCCTGATGTGCTTTAGTATTGACTCACCGGATTCGTTAGAAAACATCCCAGAAAAGTGGACACCTGAGGTGCACATCTAGTCGTGAGAGTTACTAATAAAATAATTAGCTTGATATAATAGGTGTTTCATGACACAAGACATTTGAATGTATGTAGAGGACATTATACGCAAGCAATACTTTGCCGTCATGATCGTAGAGTCGCACCTTATTTTTTAAATGACTTCAAGTTTATGTATTTTAGAAGTTCAAAAGTGTATTCCCAGTTTGCGCCATTTGTATTATATTCTAGGTAAAAACGTGAGATGATTTGCCATAAATTGAGAAGTAACGAGTTCAAGCAGTTTTATTTTGTTGACAGTAGATATATTTTATTCCAGGTACGCCATTTCTGCCCAAATGTTCCAATAATTTTGGTTGGAAATAAGAAAGATCTTCGTAATGACCCACAGATGGTACGTGAATTGGCAAAGATGAAACAGGAGCTAGTACGACCGGAACAGGGTCGTGCAATAGCTGAACAAATCGGTGCTTTCGCATATTTGGAATGTTCCGCAAAAACAAAAGATGTCAGTTCTTTTTCATATTTAATACTTTCAAGTAATTCATCCTTATTGTGATAACACCAAAAGGAAATGCGATTATTGAGTAGCACTGAAGCAGAACTAGCATATTCCAGAAGGATTAATCAACCTCCGCGAAATACTATCATGGATCTAAGACACTCCAATTTGATTTAAATAAAGTAAGATTCAAATCGCCGTTGATCTAAACAATTAATGGATTAAAGTAATTGGTCAAAAGATTAACAACATGAGCCTTTGTTAGTCAAAAATGTTGTAATTTTCAGGGAATTCGAGAAGTATTTGAAAAAGCAACGCAGGCTGCACTGCAGCAAAAGAAAAAGAAAAAGAAGTGTGTCATTCTTTGAACTCACTACAGTTTCCGCAATTGATCTTGCTTCTATATAAGATGTGAAAACTAAGTGGTTTCGGAAAAGTGCACACTGTTGTTTTTGATGGAGGAGATAAGATAGGAGGAAGGGATCATCTGACTTCTTCATAATCAGATATTGATTGTTAAAATATATTAATTGGGGGTCACTATTCGGTTGTTCTACGTTTTTAATAATGAATCTCGTACTATTGGTCAAGAGATGTTCAATAATTACTTATTGATGGCCGGAATGGCAAGCTTCCAAGAAAGAAAAATGAAGTATCGTTTGTCCTACATTTTGCAATATTTGTTCATTCTCAAAATCAAAAAAGAAAAACATTCCAATGATGCCTCATTTAGATTTAACATAAACGTATAATGCGCGCCATGTTTTTTTGATATTTTTTGACTTTGTTATTTAAACTTTTGCCTGATTTTGACATGTTGATATATACTCTGCCTGATTTTTATCACATTGTTTGTTACTGTTATCGTTGTTATTGTTGCATTACTTAGTTCTGTTCCTCTTTTTTAAAATCAAGCAAACATCCTTCTCATCTTGCTAAGATGATAAGTTATTTATTGTTATTTATAGGGAATGTGTAATAAATTAGTCATATCCAATTTATGTGTACGTTTTCTCTTGTAAACAAGCAGACCTTCAGCTAAGTATTAGTTCAGAAATTGTGGAGAAATATTTCTTAATCAGCACGAGCAGGTAAAATTCATATTTCATACAGTATCAGGATCTACCTTTTTGATTTAATTCGAAAGATTCGTAGAACCTGGTAATCTGTTTTCTGAACAATGAATGTGGTGAGATTGTAGAGAATAGTGGAGGAGGTAGGGGGAGGAGGAGTTGTGTTTTCCACAAATCGCTTTGCAGGATTACGTAATGCTGGAGGAATTTATGGATCCTAAGGAAATGCTCAAACGACGATGAGTTATTCACAGCTGGTATAAAAGATGAAAGACGAAGATTTCCGGGAAAGTGTGGAGCAGCTGTGAAAATTTTTCAAAGCTACTGTTTAAATGGGATGCTTCCCTTAACACAATGTGGAACCGTTCTTGGTCATTTCTTTGTTTTCTTTTTTTTCCTTTGCTGCTTGAAACGAACATCCATCGTCCTCTGTCTCTGTGCTGACTCTTCTTTTTGTTATTGGACATTAAAGCTGGATTTCTTTGCTAAATTTTGGTTTTAATAATTTAAATTATCCACGCAATCATTACTAAACAGTTCTACTGCAAAACCTGGTTAGGATAACTTATCTCGTTATTGGAATGGAAAGAAACGGTTGAATATATGATAGGGTACAATTCTTGTATGTTTATATTACCACGATCGGACCATTCAGACCGATAGCTTATTGAAAGCAAAATTGGATGAAACAATTTGCAATCGTTACTGCATGATCTTTTGTGTTGACGATATACGACGTCGCCAACACAATAAGATGCGTCACATCGATTTAATTGAACAGTTCTGGTGATTCTGAAGAGTTGAAGGAACAATGTGTATAGCTCTTAAATAGTGTATATAGTGCAACAAAGTAGTTTATTCATTTATTGAACATAATAACGCTCTCCAGTAATACATCCCAGTTTCGGATGTTTGGAAGCGTAGATTTTGTAACTAATATTTCGGTATTCGAAATTTAGCTAACGAGAATGGCACATGTTAAGAATCCTGATTACTTACAGATATAATTCCATTTATCTTAAAATCTAACGTGAGATTATGACATTCAAAAGCATCAATAACACGAAAATCAATAATTAGCAGTAACTCCAATAAGTAGAACTTTATCAGTGTAATGAGTTGGAATTTTCTATATCTTATCTTTATAAAATTTCGGCTAGATGGATAAGGCTCTTGCAACAAATCGAATTATTCTATTAAAAAAAAAAAATCATAATAACAGATATTATGGCATTTGCAGTGAAATCGCATCAATAAGGATTAATAATTTCTGCATCGATAAGGCAGATCAAACAATGCAAATCAAGTCAGGAATCTTTCTTAACAACAATAAACCACGTGGATGGATAATTCGGAAAACTTGAGCGGTATTTATTCACTGAAATAATACCTGTCATTATAGTAGTGCAATAAATGCTCCAAAAAACAAAAGAAAGAATTAGAACAATGCCATTGATTGTAATAAAAATAAAAGTGAAAAAGAAGGAAAGTATAAGAAGGTTGATGAATTAGTTGTCATAGGATGGTATATGATCAGCAATTTATTCTGGCATAATGACGAATTTTTCCATCTTTTTTATTTCCATTAATGGGATTTTTTCATATTTTATTTTTGTTATAATTATTGTTGCTGTCGTAGCAATTTCATGCTTTGTTGATAAGTGATTTGTGATCAAAGTTCAAAATATAAATTAGAAAGGATAATATTTGTGTGTCAACTAGAAAAGAAGTTAAAACTAAGTTAGGGAAGAAAGTGAACCATTAGGTTAGAAAAGAATGAAAGGCGGAATATTCGAGAAATCCTACTGAAAATACCCCTCAATTTACATTCTCTCCTTTGACAATTACCAAATATCTTTTTGTTTCTTTATTTTTCATTCTAATTTTATTTTGTTTTATTTAGCCGAAATTTCTTTCCCAAAATTATTTACATAGAAACAGAAATGGTTAGTTGGTAATTCTTGATTTCATCCATATATGCTTCCACCTTGTTTGCCTCTTTTTAAATCACAATTATGCACTAAAATTTCTTATGTTTCTAATGAAATTTGAGAAAATGTTCATCTAAACAACTCATACTTTCCTCTTTTATTAATGCTTCTTTCTTCATCATTCCATTTTATTTCAATTTATTTTGTTTCGTCTTTTCTCCCTTCCTGATTTCCTACTCGAAAGCCACAATCAAAAACAGCCACGAAATTGCGGTACACATCTCTTCCCATTCCCTATGCCTACTATTTTAATCCCTCTTTTCGTATAAGTTTCAAACGATTATTGATCGCTTATCAATGATTGCAACTTTATCGAACTTAGCAACTAAAAATTTCGTGATCATTATTCTAGTCTCTTTAGTTTTTTTCCTTGTTTTGTTTAATTCCTTGAGATCGTAACTAAAGAAAAGGATATTGAAGGATATCAGGATAGGAGAAGATGGCAATTAAAGACTTTAAGGACAATGAATTTTCTTTTTCTAATTGACTTCAACAATGTTTACAAATTTCCACATTCCCACATTGTGCAAAAAAACTGAAAATTCTTTCTTACATACTATCTATAACAAATGTGTTGACCCAGCAAGCTTAATGAATAGAAAAGGTTCACTTTTATTGCACGAAGTCATTTGGCAATTCTCCGTCATGATAGAAATGTAATCAATATTTTTGACATCGTAATCATGTTAACTTACTGATATGATGTTAGCTAATTTGTAAACACTGCATCTTTTCTTTATGATTTAAAGCTTCATTTAAACTAATCTAAACCATTTAGACAATTTTTAAAATAAAATTCTGTTTCTTTCCGTTCTCCTTATCCCATCCTTACGTAATAAGACATATATTTCTTGAATGCTACTTTTCCCTTATCAAGACGTGTCATTAATTACCTTTCCAATATTCTCATCAACTATTTCTTCCGAAGTTTCACAACGATCTTCAAAATTTGGTCGATCTAATAATATTTTCTTTTTTTTTTGTTTTATATCTTTAACTGTACAGCTATGCAACTTTACAGCTATACAGTAAACCTTTTAATCTCAATTTTTATTATATTCCGCAAATTCCTTTCATTGCTATGAAATATATATATTAAAGAAATCATCCAATAGTTTTTCTAGCATTGTATTGAAATTATCGTTAAACTTTTTAATTATTGGCTTGACCTTTTTGACCTCGAACATTGATATATGTCATCTTAGCTAATTTTGCTTAATTCCGCGATTTTATGATGATTAATTTGAGAAGAAATGAAGCTTTTATTTGGAAGCTCGTTATCATTTGTGGACAGTTGATAAAGGATGGGAAGAAGGATTAAGAGATTGGATGTGACAGGGAGAAGAAGGAAAAGGGAAATGGAAAAGGAAGAAGTGATAAGGGAGAGATTCAACAGGAAATACAATTGTTTATGTATTAATATGAATTTAATCTGAAACTAATCTTTCAATTTCACTCTCTAACGGATCCCATAATCTAATCTTTAACAATTTTACAAATCTCCATTTTTCACATTTCTTCATTCAGAATTTATTATTTTTACTGCTTTCAAAGCTCTTATATTCTGCAATTTTATTTCTTCGCCACCTTAAAATATTATAAACAAAATTAATGAAGAAGTAAATGTAATATCGGCATTTCAAATAAAGGTTAACTGGTAAATCAGTAAAAGTTTTCCAATTTTACTCATTTAAATTTCTCACAAATGTGTTATTAATTTTTATTTAAATAACCATAAACATTCGCATTTTGTTGTAATATAAATGTACGCATCAAAATTTCAATTCATAGATTGTCAAACTTTTAATTGTTCAAATTTACAATTATTTATAACTTTTTCCACTTATTGCTTTTTTTGCTGATTCTACAAATATCAATTATTTGAAATAATACTCAGTTTTATAGAATTCGAGATTCTCAGGACTGTGTTATATAGAAATTCAAGACACCATCTAATACGCATATAAGTTGTGATAGGACTCTAACTTTACAGGAATATCGAACTGAAGTTAGTATTCAAACGATTTCGTGGAGGAAAAATCATTGACATTCGGGATCGATATGGCAGCAATCCGAAAGAAATTGGTTATTGTCGGCGATGGAGCATGTGGTCATTGCAATTTACTGTTACTTATTTTAAAAAAAGTCTAAAAATTAGGGAAGTTATGACTTTTATATAAAAATAAAATTGTATAACAAAGAAATTTCGTTCAATTAAATTGGTATAAATTGAAGGAAAGAAGAAGCTAGAAAGTTTTCCTGTATATCTGTATAGAGACTTTTCTTGGCACTTCATCTGGACCA